ACATATCGTTGTGCATAGAAAGGCATATTGTTGCCACAGGTAAAATTGTTACCAACCACCAAACTGAGAATAAATAGTTCTATATATTAAGAAAAACCTCTGTTGTTTTATTTCTTTTTATATTTCCCCCCTACTGTCCACCGCTCGACGCATTCGGCGTTTTACTCCCATCGGCGGAGCCCCTCTGAGCTAAACAGTCTCCAAATTTGGAATGCGTACAGGAATTTGAAACAATATGAAATATGTAAATTTTCGGACGATTTCATGTATTTGATGCACCAAAAACGCTATGTATCTCTAATGTCAATATCTTTTTTTGTTGCAAAGTGTACCTGACGATGTACCATTTCAATTATTTTTTTCCATATTCTCCGGTATTACTATCAGTTCCTTTATACATTGATACGATCGTCATGATGAGCCTCCTTTATCCGATTTTGTAGACTATCTAGATTCACCAGACACGCTGCACGGCTAAGAGCGACTTCATGCACCATTAACGTACCCAATGGGTACTCTATGACGTAGTCAAAATCATGAAGAAAAAGTGCCCATCTCGAAATTCGAACAGGAACATCTTCCTTGCGCATGGTCATTTAGACCCATGACGTATGTGGCGCTTTTACGATAGCTAGGATCTCGAACCAATACGAATGATATTTTTATTTAGCTGGTCTCGTCTCATGTTCGCATCAGAGTGTAGCTGCATGTACTCTGAATCTTTCTGAAAAAGTACTGTTCCGTAACCATGCATACTAGCATCCGTGTAAATTTCTGTTTCAGCTTTAAAATTATAGTCTTAAAATCGTAATGCCTCGTAAGTGCACTTTTCAAATGTTAAACTACAGTAGTTCGTTATCGCCCATATTGAACAAAACATTTTAAGAAGAAGAACCGACAATTGTTTAGAGTCCAAAGCATACGCTCGCATAAAGCGTTGAAAGAACGACGTAAGTCCCAAAAATTTTTAAACTGCTTTCACATTAGTTGGAATGGGGAAGTTTCTAATCATAGAAATTTTCTCATCCGTTGAATATATTGATGAATTCTTATTCTATATCCCAGGAATTTGATACTCCTTATAAAACATTGGCACTTGCTCCATTTTTATCTCAATGCCGCTTGACGACGCGACTTTTAAGATTTTAATCAGCTTTTCAGAACCCTTTCCTCGGTCTTGTGATGGAATAACAATGTCGTCCATATAAATGATAACTGTACCGTCTCTAATCAGCTCTTGCAGAACTACAGAGAAATATCGGCAAAATACGGCTGAATAATTTGAAATACCGATGGGCACAACGTAAGGAATACTGTATACTTTTATGATTCCTGGTCTATCGGCACATGTAAGAAACCATTCCTCAGATAAATTGTGGTATACACTCTACCCTCCTGCAATCTCTACTAGCGATGTTCTTCTAGGACGGTTTGCAACTAGAATATCATTTTTCAGTACAATTTTCCTTTTTATGGGAAACTTTGTGAGTTTAATTGGCCTGTATAAATCAATTGCAGCCTCATTCCTCGCTTCCATCTCTACACTTAAATGATACAGTTCAAAAATGTCACATATTTTTTGATTTGTTGACATAGAGTGAATTATTTCGTAAAATTCGTTCTGCGCTGCTTCAATTCGATTGACGTCCAATATGGGCGTATATTTGCGTACACTAATATTAACGGGAGTAAATCTCCTTCTAAATGTCGCATCTCTCGCATCGATAACAAAATCAACTTGATCTGAAACGTCGTTTCCATTACATTACAATATATCAATATATTAACGACATAGAAAACAATGGTATAACTCACGATTATCTAATTTCAACAAACATAACCCACTGTCGTTATTGTTTGACCACCAATACCCGAGAAAATTTTCGCTCCGGACTCCAGCGTTAACAATAAAAGGGTAGCATAACAAAGTAAACTTATTCCGCTATCAGTATCGATTAAAGCAAAAAGAGTTGTTCCTAACACTTCAATGTCTCGGTGCTGCAGATTCATCATTAGTCAGTGTATGAACAATTTTTTCTCTGCCTTAATATTCTCATCTTGACTGTCTTTCTTGTACTGCACTCAAATGACTTGTGACCAGACCCCGACTACCTTTTCTTTCAACACTGAAACATTTCGCGCTTAGTATAAGATAAGCTTACTAATCCTAGAATCGGTTATATCCTAATGAAGTATTCAACAATACTAATCTCATCTAAATGTATGGGACTGTCATTTTATATTATAGTTATAAATATTGTTTATAAGACTCGTCTGCCCTCTTTCAGCTATCCTCCAATATTTTATGGACTGAAATCCTTGGCAATTTGGTACCGACCACTCCTCTTAAAACTCTCTTTAGAGCAGTCCAAATTTTCACACCTACTTGGCTTCTTAAAAATATTCGTGCTGCATCCGTCAACAATTGTGTAGTGTATGTGTATCATTGCAATTCATTCTATTTCACCACGTGTGAACAGTTTTCGAATTCCTAAATCCACATCAGGAGCACCTTCCCCTGAAAGCCGAGTTAGTGAATCTGCAATATCCTTTGGGGTAAAGCTACAACTTTCTGCCCTATTAATTGCGACATCTGAAGTTGCATCATCGAAATTAGAGCCGTCGCCAGCGTCAGTAGTTCCCGTATTGCAATAATGTCAAATTCGACGTTCCTGTAAGTCCGTTTTAACCCAAGTAGATGACAAAGTATATATATTCTTGATCAGCATAAAATTCTATGTCGATGTAGCGATGTCCGTCCGTCTATCCGTCTGTGGAAATAACTCTAGCTTCCGAACGAAATGATTTAGGTTGATAACATTTTACTGTCTGCAGGAGCTCTGGTATTGAAAATGGGTCAGGTAGGTCCACGTTTTAGTATAGCCCTCATATAATAGTACCTCCCGATATTCGGTATTTTGATGATTTTAGCAACATTATTCAAAGGAATTGTTTCAAATTTGGTGTCTGTAGTTCGTAATGGATACTACAGCCTATGACAGAAAATTGTCTGCGCAGGTCTGAGTCCTCTTATAGGCTCAAGATAGCGGTACCTCCCTTATTCGATTTTTTAATGATTTTAGCTACATTATTTACCGAATTTTTTATTCAAGTTTCGCATTTGAGTATTGTAATGGTTTATGAGAAAAGTTGCTATGGAGGCCCACGTCGTCGTATAGACCCTAATATAACGCCTACTTTCGCTATTTCTAAGATTTTAACATAATTTTTTAACGGATTTTATAATTATTATATCGTTCCCAATGGTGGAGGGTATTCAGAGATCGGCCCAGAAGAACTTACAGGTGTTTTACTTGTTTTTGTCTTAAATTCTCGCCAATCATTACTTCTCTCTTGCCTTCTTTTCTTTTCAGTTTTCAGATTCAAAAAAAAAAAAAAAAAAAAAACAGTACCTAATGCGGATTGTTTTTTGAATAGTAATTTTTTTCTTCTTCTTCGTTTTTGGAGCACATGAATTCTTTTTAGTTGGTTTTGCCGTACCGTCTTGATTTTCAATGCCACTCACAAATTTTTTGCATTTGTTTTAACGAACGAAATTAATTTTATGTTTTCTTACCACTTTGCTTTTTTTAACGATCCCGTTTGAGCTCCCAATTATGTAGTTCTGTATACCCTCCACCATTCTATGGAGGGTATATTAACTTTTTCATTCCGATTGTAACTCCTCTATTCTAAATCAGCATAAAATTCTAAGACGATCTAGCGATGTCCGTCTGTATGTCGGTCCGTTCTTTCTGTCTGTTGTAATCACGCTATCTTTCGAACGAATTGAGATAGAAGGCAAAAACTTTACATACGTGCAAAGTTTGCCTGTAGGCAGGTACGTAAATGAGCCATGTCGGTCCACGTTTTCGTATAGCCCAAATATAATGGTACCTCCCCATATTCGGTATTTTCATGATTTTAGCGACATTTTTACCGGAATTACTTACAATGTCGTATTTGAACATCGTAATAGGCATGGTAGAAGAATATAGGTAGACGCATCGATACAGCTGCTGGGTCAATGAACTGTCAAACCAATTTCCCAAGCGTTGATGCATATACCTGTATTCTTCTACCATGGTAATAGGTACTACAGCCCATGGTACAATGATTTCAAGGTAGGGCAAAACTACCATATGATTTAAATTTTTTTTATTTTTCTGGCTTAATATGTAAACTTCATTTGTTTATGTGTGCGTATTGTTTTCAATAATAGAAAATTGTTCAGAAAGTATTCAAATTTTGGTTTTTTCAAAATGCTTATTGCAAAGTATGCATCGACAAAGTCTACAATTTTTGTCGCGAAATAAGCCATAAGAGATATATAGAACATGATTTTGAAAAGGAATTTTGACCTTTCATTCAGTTTTAAGTTATTTATATTTATTCAGTTTTTAAATTATTTATTCAAAATCAATGCAACAAGTTTTTTGCTTTTTTATTGTTTTGATAGTGATTCTGACATTACAAGTCAAACAGGTAGACCTCTATACTTGACATTTTTTAAAGTTAGCCTACCTTGTATTCATTGTACCATGCTACAGCCTATGACAAACATTTCTGTATGCAGGTACAATTCTTCGGTATTTTGATGATTTCTGCAAACATTATTCACCGGAATTGTTTTAAATTTCGTACTGGAAGATACCAATGCGTATTACAAAAAATTTCGTTTGCAGGTCTTCGTATAGTCCTTATGTAGCGAGTTACAATCAAGCGGTACTTTTTCTTTTGAAAATTTTTTGAAAAGGGTATTAAAAGTTCGTCCCGGCCGAACTTAGCGGCTTTTTTACTTGTTCAAATAACAATTACATATACTTCAACTCTCAATTATGTATCTGTAAAAATTAATTTTAAATTTTTGTAAATTTGTCCTGTCTAAATAACTTTTTTTCTTTTCTTTCTCTATGTAAATATTTTGGTTCCTATTAATTTCCTGCCGACGTGATGCCTTTTTCAATGGCTATGGTAATGTAACTTGTTGTACTTTTAAGTTTTTGCACTTACAGCTGCATTGTTAGGGGCTCGCTTTAGAGCTGGTTCTAATGCTGGTATGCTTGGCCTTGAAGGTCTACCTGGACTTAGCGGACGAATGTCCCATAGCAATAATGATGGAGATTTAGATAACGCGGAATGCAAAAATATAAATGCACCTTCTAGTTGTAATATGGGGAGACGTCGCAGCCGGGCAGTTCTATACCAACTCTCTGGACACTATAAGCCCGAAAAAGGTGTAAAGAACAAGCTGAAGCTAGGAAATGTAAGTACAATCAATGTATATATAATGAAATTGACAATCTATTTCCAATATAAATGCAAACGCAAATATTCTCAGCGTTGTGTACAACTTGTACTATTCGGTACCTCTTTGAACGTAAGTCGAAATTCTATAATAGAAAATTCCTAAGGTAAATCTCAAAACAGCTTAAGCGACATAGAATTTAACGCAGATAAGGAATATATATAATTTGGATTTACAAAGTGAATAGCAAGTGAATATAAACCTTTCATATGGAGGCTATACGAGGGCGTTTCGAAAACTTCTTAGCTATCAATGAAAGAAAATAGTTAGTTTTTCAAAAATATTTTTATTTTTCGATATAAGCTCCTGATACTTCAGTACACTTAGTCCAACGCTTTTCTAGCAATTCTATCCCTTGATTAAAATAGTTTTCCTCGAGGTCTTCAAAATAGTGGTTAACATCTGTAACTGCATCTTCATTTGAGGTAAAACGCTTGCCAGCAAGAAATATCTTTGGATTTGGGAACGAGTAAAAGTCACTGGGAGCTAAATGTAGGAAAATAAGGGTGGTGGTCAAGCAACTCGTACTTTAATTCGTTGATTTTAGCCATTGTTAAAACAAATTTGTGCGCTGGTGCGTTGTCCTAAAGAATTTTTTTTGTGTTGTAAGCGCGCACGTTTTTCTCGAATTTGTACACTTAATTGATCCAAAAGGTTGCAATAGTGCTTTGGGTTTATTGTTTTACCCTCTTGTAGATAGTCAATCAACAAAATACCTTTGAGGTCCCAAAAAAACCGTAACCATAACCTTACCAGCCGATTGAATTGTTTTTGCCTTCTTTGGGGCACTTCCTCCAGCTTCCGTCCATTGTTTGGATTGTTCTTTTGTTTCTGGAGTATAGTGGTGGATTCATGTCTCATCAACAGTTATGAAACGACGCTTAAAATCCATTTTATTTCGCTTAAAACGATCAAAGCAAGCTTAAGAAATGTTCAATCTTATGCGTTTTTGATTGACTGTTAACAAATGCGGCACCCATTTTGCAGAAAGCTTTTTCATCTGTAGTTCTTCATGCAAAATTAAATGGACTCGATCATTTGAGATGCCTATGATATTAACAATTTCACTCACATTTATTCGTAGTTCATTTGACACGATATCATGCGCTTTGGTTACAATTTTTGTTGTTGTTGTTGCTGTTTTTGGACGTCCACTACTTGGTTCATCTTCAATGCTTGTACGACCACTTTAAATTCAGCCACCCAATTTTTTACTGTTGTACTTTCACCTAACCATTCACCGTAATGATAAAACTTTTTTATGTAAATGTTTAATGACGCATTTCTAATTTTTACATTGTAAAAAAATTGCGGATGCGTCTTTATGAACACTTGTTTCTATATGAAGGAGTTGCCAGATCGAAGCAAAATTTAATATGTGTTCCTAACAAAGATGGACGTTTCCAAAACACTCAACTTTTTTCTGTTTATACCGCGCTTTTTGTGCTAGGTTAAGAAGTTTCCGAACTGCCCTCGTAGAATAGCGTTAACTTTGAACTTTCCTCAAATATAAAGAGATAAAAAATCCAACTACCCCGGATGAAAGTCTAACAGTTACGTTTTAGAAATCGAGTTGGCAGCCCTGTTCGAACGAGATGCCAAAATTTAACATATAATGTGCAGTTCAATTTATCTCAAAATATAACTTAAATAGCAACAACCCATACCAACATAAAATCATAGACCATATGAGAAATATTACATTGGAAATAGTGTGATAACTGTTCTAAAACCTACCAAGCAATGTGTACTAAGCTAAACAAAAAAACAATATGAATATTTACTTAAGAACGACGAAGAAGAGTACGTATCCTATAAATGTAACATACGTATGCTATAAATGTTATTAGCAGTGATAAAGATGTAAACAATGCTACACTTACAGAGCAACTGCTAAGAATGGAATCCATGAATTTTTTATCTCGTAAATTTGATTATTTAATGATTGCCATAAGTACATATAAGGGAACAATGTCAAATAACGTCAAAAAAATATATACATATAAAAACAACCACAAATTTATTCAACGTAATGTCTGTAAATATAAGAAGCATTTCGATTATTGTAAATTCTAATACTTTTAAATCACAATTGACGCAACTACCTATACTACCAAATATCACTGCAATACGAGAAACGTGGTTTCAATCCAATTTAACAGAGATGTATACAATTCCTGGTTACAACGCAGGGCATTATTGCAGATCTTACAGTTACGGGGGCACGTTGATTATGTATTGAAAAATGTAAGCAGAATAAAAGGAATTGCTGAGAGAACCTGTTTGAACAACTACATGTGCTGGAAATCCTTGAACGAGTGCTTAGGAAAAAAAAAGGAAAAACGGAATGTAATTTGAAAAATGATAGTGGACAAATGAAAAATAGATCAGTGAACATATTCAACAATTTGGTTCGATATTTTGAGAAGTTCTCAAAGTTGCATAGGTTATGCCCGTAACGACAAAAAAGAATGTGGCAAGTAGCCAGTGAGCTCCGGTCTATAAATTTGTTATCGTATGTGGACAAAATGGAAGAAATATTGCGTTCACATAGAAAAAATATTGAATTCACGGATATCTGACAAACAATTTGATTTTAAGAAAAGTTGATGCCGTTGCAAACATAATAAATTTGATATGTAAAGGTTTAGATGACATGTTGGAGCAATATTTTACACCGAAAGAAAAAGCTTCATACAATAATGAAATCCTACGTTCCGTCAATAAAATTTGTTATTGATTTTGAACCAACGTAGAGGATTGAATAAACGAAAACAGTTTCATTAATGTAAAATTAACGAAATTGTTCATAAATTTAATGGAAATTCTTCATTGATTCAGTGAAACACATTCATTAATGCAATGACATTTCTAAATTAATCCAATAAACCTTCATTGACATATATATATATATATATATATATATATATATATATATATATATATATATATATATATATATATATATATATATATATATATATATATATATATATATATATATATATATATATATATATATATATATATATATATATATTTATATATATATATATATATATATATATATATATGTCAATGAAGGTTTATTGGATTAATTTAGAAATGTCATTGCATTAATGAATGTGTTTCACTGAATCAATGAAGAATTTCCATTAAATTTATGAACAATTTCGTTAATTTTACATTAATGAAACTGTTTTCGTTTATTCAATCCTATATATATATATATATATATATATATATATGGTTTCCAACTCGAGTGTATTTCGAAAACTTATTTACGGCCGTCAAAACTAATTTTCTATCTGTTGAGAAAATATCAATATGAATAACCCGACCTGGGTAGTTTGGTATTGGTGTGGCATTCAGTCTTGGTTGACTTGGATGCCTGTCATATTTATTTCTCTTGCATGTGGACCACATTTTTAATATTCTTTTAATTTTAGAGAACATACTGGGAAAATATGCTTTTTCCAATATTTGCATCTTACTTTCTACAGCATTTCTATGCGCACGATTATGAGTATCTATGATAATCGTTTCTTTATCAAATTCCGACAAAATATCCTCGACAAAATTTTTAGTAAAACAAATTTTAAATTTTACAAAATGATGTGGATAAATATCTTGAATTTTTTCCATAATAAACTCTGGAGTTTTAATGCAATTTATGACCGATGGGTTAAGGCATCTCTTTAAAATTGAAATAAGTCTTTCAGTATCATATTCTGGTTCCGATATTGCATGTCTATAATAGCCTGGAAAAGTTATTTGAAAATTGTACAACGGAGCCACGCTGATTTCAAGATAAATTTGATTTTTAAACGCATTTATTGGCACTTCAACACTAGGAATAAGTTTTTTCTGGGTAGCTATCGCTACTACACTGTTCCCGTTAAATATATGATTTTCGTTCCAGGGGATCTAGAAAGTGAATGAGCCACAACATTACTTTTACCTGGTTTATATTGCATTTCATAGTTGTATTCTTTCAGTATTGCTTTTCATCTTTTTGTTCTTATTGCTCAAAGCATAAGTTAGCGGTTGATGGTCGGTGTAAATTATGACTTTAGCTGATCCATATACATAGTTTCTTAAATGGGTTAAAGCCCATGTTATGGCTAACATTTCTTTTTCGTTTGCCGCATGAGGCTGCAAATACAGAAAGAACATATCTGGCTGGCTTAAGTCATCGGCTGGCTTCTTCGGAAATGAACAAAGGAGCCTAGGGCCAAAATCGAACTATGTTAACCTAAAACTACTTTGTTCATCTACGAAGAAGCAAGCCGATGACTTAAGCCAGCCAGATATGCTCTTTATGTATTTCCACCCTAACTCTCTTCTGCTATTGTTAATGTTCTTGAAATAAAGAAAAAAGGTCTATCACACTGGCTTAATACAGCTCCAATAGCAACATTGGATGCATCTGTCGTCAAATGGAATTCTTTGTGGAAATCGGGATGTGACAAAATTACTTCCTGGGATATAAGGACATTTTTCAAGTTGTCAATAACTTGCTTCGTTTCATTGTCCATTTTTATTTTTCTTTGTTTGATTCTGTTCTAGATATCAATCCCCCATCTCCTCGTAAAAGTTTCGTAAGTGGCTCTGTGATGTTTGCATATCCTTTTATGAATCTTCGGTAGTATCCCGAAAGACCAAGAAAAGATCGAAGTTCCTTTACACTTTTAGGATAAGGGAAGTCCACTATAGCCTGAACTTTATTTGGGTTAGCTTTTATACCGTTATGTGGAACAGTATATCCGAGAAATTCCACTTCTTTCTTGAAAAAATCGCATTTATCGAGTTGTATTTTCATATTTGCGCTATTAAGTGTTTCAAAAATGGCTTCTAGATCCTTAAAATGTGAATCTTCGGCGTCGCTAAAAATAATAATATCATCGATATAAACGAAGCATCTCCTACCGATGCGTTCCCTTAAAATGTCGTCTAAA